CATTGCCATTGCATGTTATACGAGGTCGCTGTCTGCGACCTGTGCGAAACGAAGAATTCACGATAGCATCCTGGAACATAGAAGGCTATACAGAAGCCAAACAAGTACAACTAGAAGTCACGATGCAACGCTGCGGCATCAAAGTCTTGTGCATCCAAGAAACTTGGAGGCCAAAATCAGACACGTTCGTGAGTGAGACAGGGTACCTCGTCGTGCTGTCCGGTGGCGCTGGCGAGGCGGAAGGGGAAGAGAGGGCAGGAGTGGGATTCATCATTGTCCCCGCCTTCAGATAATCAATTGTTGGATTTTGCCAGTTCTCTGATCGAATGTCCTCACTGAAATTACGCGTATCTGGAGGCAAGGCTGTGATTTTCTCGGCTTACGCTCCGCACAGTGGGTTTGAATATCCAGAGCGGCAAGGGTTTTACCATGATCTTGGGGAATTTGTTCAGACTCAATCTTCGCATGATCCGAAGTTGATCCTGGGGGACTTCAATGCCAAATTGTATGATCGATTCGACGACGACGTTGGGATCATCGGCCAACACGTGTTCCAGCACCCTGGACAAGTCGTTCGCGCTGACGCGAATCGGAACCTATTGGTGGAGATGTGCACGCAGCTGAAAATGTGTCTGTCCAACACGTTCTTCTTCGCTCAACAACAGGAGTTGGCCACGAACTACAACGTGGGGCGCCCTGTCGGCGAACCAGTTGGCTGGCGTACGCACTCCCAGATAGATTTTGTGCTGTGTGCCCAGAATTTTCTGCATGACGTGCTCAATGTGACCGTGCGTCGGGACATGCCACTCTCATCTCACCATTTCTTGCTTCAGGCACGTGTCCACGCGAAGGTGGAGAAGACGCACGCGAATACGGACGGCGCCAAGGCAGACGTGTCGCAGCTGGCCGACATCAAGACCCGGCAGCGATTCACGGACAAGCTTGCTAACGTGCTCGAGGCTTTCGCCGACGGGACGCCTGACCACGACGACGTGAACCTAGCCTGGTACCAGCTCGTAGACGGATTCCACAACGCCTCGGAGCAGGCTTTGCCCCGGCAGACGCGACGCCCAAGGAAGCCTTGGACGCGCCCTTCAACCTTGCAGCTGACAGACCACCGCGTGGCGGCTCGACAGACAGGAGACATAGCTGAAGAGAAGAATCTAGCGAAGCATATCAAAAAAGCTGTTGCTGCCGACCGGGCCGCCTGGCTGCAGGAGCCAATGGCGAACGGAGACTGGGGCGAGATCAGAAAGCTCCAGAAAGGGTTTTGCCCGCTACAGGGGAGACTCAAGAATGAGGCGGGCCAGGTCGTGGATAGCGACAGCCGGGCTGACACTTTGGCGGCGCATCTCGAGCGGGTGCAGTGGGCAGTGCGGCCGACGACGGCGATGCCAACTGATAATCTGCATGACGGTGAGCTGCCGACCGTCCTCGACCCGATCACGCAGGAAGAAGTCAGGAAAGCAGCGGGCAAACTAAAGCAAGGCAGAGCAGGAGGATTGGACAACGTACCCCCGGAGTTCTGGAGAGCGGCCTCCGGAGAAGGCACCCCGACGCTCGAGTGGATCACTCGTTTCTGCAATGTGATTTGGGAGACGGGGCGCGTCCCTGATGCATGGCACAAGGCAAAGGTGAAAATGATCTACAAGAAGGGGGACCCCGCGGACAGCAACAACTATCGCCCAACATGCCTTCTCCCGATAGGGTACAAGATGTTCGCGCTCGTCCTGCTGCAGAGGATGAAGGACACCAGTGCCGAACAGCGTATTTGGGAGACACAGTTCGGGTTCCGATCGAATTGCGGCACTGCATACGCCATGTTCATCGCCCGGCGGGTGCTGGAAGAGACATGGGCCGCTCGCGATGGGAAGACATTGTTCTTGGCGCTGGATTGGGCAAAGGCCTTCGATTCTGTGTCGCCTCAGGCGCTGGCCATGTCGCTTCGAAGATTTGGATGCCCTAATCGTTTTGTAAACATGGTTGCAGCTATCTACGAGAACCGCGTTTTCGAAGTCACCGACTTCGGCGCAACGTCACAAGAGAGAAAACAAGAGAACGGAATTTGCCAAGGACGCCCATTGTCACCGTTCCTATGTACAATTGTTATGACTACGCTTCTACACGATGCTCACAAAGAGCTTCGCCAAAGACGAGGCCAACCTGTTCCGGAAGAGCTGGTCCAAGATCTTGTCTACGCGGATGACATGCTGCTGCTCGGCGCCAGCGCAGAGGCTGTGCAGGAGCTGATGACATATGTGGAGAAGTTCGGGGCAAACTACGGTGTGCAATTTAATTGGAAGAAAATGGAGCTGATGAAGGTGCGCACAAACGACGGCATCTCGGACAACGCTGGCGCTCCTCTCGCCAATAAGCATTCCATCGTCTACTTGGGCACGTCGATCTCTGCCGACGGAAGATGCGCGTCGGAATTGTCCCGCAGAATCGGAGCAGCTATGCAAGACTTCAGAATACTACACACGATTTGGTCTCACGCTTCGTTGACGAAGAATCAGAAACTCCACATCTTCAACGTGTGCGTTGTATCCAAATTAATGTACGCCCTCTTCACGGCGTGTCTAAACCAGGCCGAACGTCGACGTTTGGACGGCTTCCAAAATCGCTGTATCAGAAAGATTTGCAGAGTGCCTCCGGCATACATCAGTAGAGTGTCGAACGCCACCGTGCTCGGGATCGCTGGCCAGACGAAGCTCAACGACGACCTCGCGAGACGGCAGATGATATTCATGGGCCAATTAGCGCGCCGACCCGGCCAAGACCCTGTGCGACGCTCGGTGTTTGAACCGGGCACCCTGGTGCTGCGTAGGGTCACCGGCCCGAGAAAGCGGGGCAGACCGAGGCAGACATGGGGCCATCTAGTTTGGAATAATTGTCTCAAGGTTGCCGGCTCCCGCGAGCGACTCGCTGCCTACTTCCACCAAAACGGTGGTGCAGCTCGAGTTAGAGCGTGGGAGCGCGCGGTGAAGGCTTGGGCTTGGGCCGGAAGCTGAAGGCATTCTGGCTGCATTTGGTGATTATTTCCTATACGTTTCACCCCTGCTCACGCACCGTCTGGTGCAAGGCGTACTTGACTTGACTTGACTTGCTGAGACGGGTGTCTGATTGCTGGGACACGTTTTCGTGTTACTGAAACGGGTGGGGTTAGTTATTAAAGCGATTTGCCCTGTTACTGATACGATTGGGCCTGTTACTGAAACGCTTTTTCGGTTACTGAACCGCTTGCCTGTTACTGAAACGGTCGGATGCTGCCGCCGGAACATCGGCGACGTCGGCGATGCATCGGGCTCCACATCGAGTCGCAGCGCCGATGCAATGCATCGGCGATGCGGCGCGATCCTCCGACCCCGTCTACTCTGAACCATCTGGGAAGCCTAAGGTGCGCTCCAGGAACCCGTGTCGTGAAACAATTGTTTCCTCCCTCTCTGAGTCGCAGCACAGGGCAAAAGCTCGAAGCCAATGGCTACGCACGCGCGACACAAGAGGAGCGCCTCTGGGGCACTTCGGCCGCCAAGGCTCCCGTTCGGCTCCACTTGGGAAAACACTTTCAATGCGGGTATTTTTCCTGTATCTCGGCCTCTGGGGACCGTTTCCGGGCGGCCGGGGCCACCGAAAACGGATCCGGCGCGAAACGCTGACCCCGTGGAACGGGTCGGGGCCTCTGGGGCATCGGATTGAATCAAATCGTATCGACGGACGTCGGGGTGCAAGCAATGACATACACATAAAAACTTGAAAGTCCGCGAGGATTTCTTGGATCGGCGCTGAACCCCCTCCCTGGCGCGCGGAGCGCGCCAGGGGCGGCGCCAGAGACGCCGCCAGGGTGGCCCAACGACGATCTGCGAAGCGTGGAGCGTCGGAAATGTATGTTTATGCAGCAGTTTTTTCTTCTTCGATCTAGGGCCTCGGACTGCAACAAAAACATATCGACAGACGTCGGTGTATGGGCAGGGGATTGGTTGGATGCGGCCGGGGGTCTGAACTGGTCGGGGCACCAGAAAATCGGTCAAGAGAGGGGGAATGAGGCCGAATCCGCTCAAAATCGGTCCCCAAACCACTCCTGGGGTTCACCTGGAGTAATTTTTCACCCAGGACCTGTTTTCGACGGTCCTGGGGCTCGGAAGCGGCCCTAAGATGGCGAGATTGAAGAACCTCGAACATGCCCGCCCTCCATGCTGGCTGGAACAAGTGCTGGGATACCTCAGACCCCCAGAGACGGCTGCAAGTCGGCGGCGAACGAGGGGGGGAAGTGAGAAGGGGCGGGCCTTCTCAGAAGGCTCGGAAATCTCCCGGCCTTTTGAGCAGTTTTCTAAGCCTTCCCCGAACACACAGAAAACTTCTCAGAAGGCCCGAGGGCGTCTGAGAAGGCCCGCCGCCTTCTGAGAAGGCCTTCTCGTTCTCACTTCCCCCCTCGCTCGCCCAGCAAGGGATTGGCACGTTCGGAACGGAGACGAAGAGATCGGGGACGACGCTCGCTGCCCGGCAGAGGCGGCCGCTGCCGGGCAGGCGCGTCTCCTCACGAGCGGGCGGAGTCTGCGACGATGCTGACAGCAAACCGCCCGTTGAGTGGGCAGGAACGGCTGCCAGGCCTCGTCCCCACTGTCGCTGTCCCCCTCTTTTGTCGGCGGCGAGCGAGGGGGGGGAAATGAGAACTTAAAAAACTTCTGACAAGGCCGGGGGACTTCCGAACCTTCTGAGAAGGCCTTCTCCTTCTCACTTCCCCCCCTCGCTCGCCGCCGATATAGGGCTACCACGATGTGTCTTAGAGCGAAAGAATGTTCAGATGACAAAAAGGCATCTGCACGCGGAGCCAGGCTGCGTGCAAATGCTCGACGGCCGTGCTGGTGCTCCTGTCGTGCCGTGGCTCTTCTGGCCCGGCTACTGCCCGCGCGCGGACGCTGGGCCAGAAGCGGCTTCTGGCCTGGCACGGAAGCGGAGGCTGCGCGGGCGCTGGTGCGTCCGCCGCGGGCGACGTGGCCTTGCTATTCCAGCGCCTTCTGCGCGGCAGGGATGGCCTCCCCGAGGACGTCGAGGAGCTGCCTCACCTCGTCTGCGGAGACCGTGAGCGGGGGGATGATGCGCAGCGTCTCGCGGTGCCCCGTGGGCAGCACCAGCAGGCCGCGGTCGAAGCACTGGCGGGAGACCTCCGAGGCGAAGCCCTTGCCCGTGGCCTCGCGGTCGAACTCCACGGCGACCATCAGCCTCGGGGGCGACCAGGGCCGGGGCGGCCAAGAGAGGTGTGCGCAAGTCATAGAGCCAATAGAGCCAGGCATGTGCGCGGCCCGAGGAGGGGTGGGCCAGGAGACGTACTGAAATGAGATGGGAGATGTCCAAGCCCCAGCCATGATCCATACCCCTAATCATCACCCCCTTTTGGCCGCCCCCGACAGCCCAAGCCCGCGCACGTCCGCGATCGGGGACTCTGCACGGCAACCCAGCTGGCGGAGGCCGCCCATCAGCTGCTCTCCGCGCACGCGCGCGTTGTCGATGACCTTCTCCTGCTCGAACACCTCGAGCGTCGCCAGCGCCGCCGCACAGGCCACGGCGTTCCCCCCATAAGTGCCCCCCATGCAGCCCGGCTTCTGCCTGGCCGTGAGCTCGCTCCTGGGGAAACCAAGAGATGCCGATGCCGCTGCTCCCTGGACCTTTCCTAGGGTGCGCTCAGACCAGAATGTGGAGGCGAAGCCAGCCGTGGAAACGAAGACCTTCCAGGAGGCCCGAAAAGGCGCAAAGAGACAAAGGCATCGGTATCGGTGGTTTGTCCTCCCCCGAGCTCCGCGACACGCACACCGACAGGGGGTAGCCGCTGGCGATGCCCTTGACGCTGAGCTGCCCCGAACGCAACACGCAACACGTAGCGTGTTGTCATGGAGCTCAACACGCAATCTGAACAAGTAAATCTGGCGCGATACATTCGCTAGAACGTGGGCCAACACGTGCCAAACCAACACGCAGCGCGTTACCACGGACGTTGTGAACACGGTACGTAAACGTTGCGTTTCAACACGGGCGTATCAGGGCAACTACAAGCCTTGGCGGTGACCAAGATGTCTGGCACCACCCCGGAATGGTCGCAGGCCCACATCGCCCCCGTGCGCCCACAGCCGCTCTGCACCTCGCAGGAATCTGCGCTGGGTCACATCGCGGTATCGGAGTGGAGCGGACACGGATCGGATCGCCAGCGAATCGTGGGACGCAAAAGGCCATACTATGGTCTTAGTGTGTCTTGGAAACGCCCTGGACTTATACATACATATATGTATGTGCATATCTATACATACATATGATAAGCACAGCTTCCAACTTTCACTCAAAACACGTTTTTCAATTCGCCGGCCCAACGGGCCAGGGCGTGCTAAGATCTCCGGTAACTGGTTAACAGTATTAACAGTATTTCTAATTCGCGCGCGCGGGGCGGCCCCTGGGGGTCCCCCGGCGAAAAGTACCCCGACCAACGCCCGGTCGCCGCCCGGTCGCCGCCCGACCGCCGCCCGACCGCCGCCCGACCAAGTCTACTCAGAGATGGTTTTCCTTCTGGGTGCGGCCTCTCAGGCTCCCCAGAGCGCGCTCAGAGTGCCCCAAGAGGCCCCCAAGACTGCCCAAGAGGCCCCCGAGACGCCCAAAGAGCGCTCGAAGACGCCGAAGATGACCCCAAGACGGCCCAAAAGGCCCCCAAGACAGCCCAAGAGGCCTCCAAGACGCCCCAAGAGCCTTCCAAGAGGCCTCCGAAGAGAGCCCCAAGAGGCCAAAATCGTTGATTTTCATTGTTTTTTTCGATGTTTTTTGTGTTCTGGCTTTTTCGGCTTCCGGACGCTCCAAGACGGCCCAAGAGGCCCCCAAGACCGCTCCAAGACGGCCCACGAAGCTCCCAAGACGGCGCCGAAACGACCCAAGAGAGCCCTCAAGACGGCCCAAGTGCCGCCCAAGACGGACCAAGAGGCCCCAAGACGGGCCCAAGAGGGACTCAGGAGGGATACCGAGAACTCAAAAATGGAGCCCTCCGTCCCAGAAGGCGCCCAGGAGGTCCCAAAGAGGCCCCAAGAGGCCTCCAAGAGGCCCCAAGATGTCGCCAAGAGGCCCCAGGAGACTCCCAGGAGGCCCAAAAGAAGCCCCAGAAGGCTTCAAACATGTCTCCCAGGCGCCCCCGAACGGCCTCTCAACAGACCCCAAGAGGCCCCCCAAAGAAGCATCTTGACGACGACTCTATTTCGCCCCATCGAGAGACGACCCCCAGGGAACTGCTTCACCATCAAAACTCCCCACGCAACGCGTCCGAACGACACCCGCCCCCAAGAGCGCAACATGGGCAACGAACACACACACAAAATTCAGCGATGCCATATCACGGGCCGGCGGAATGAGCGAAGCGATTCAATAATTTCTGGCTCCCTTTTTTGTCGTTTCCAGGTCTCCGCGTTGATGCGTTTTTTGATCGTTTCCATCGTCAATCCAAGGGATCGTGTTTAGTCGTTTCCAACTTCGTTTTTTCATCGTTTCCAAGTCTGCCTCGCAATGTGCTGCGTTGAATCCGGTATTGACAGGCCACGCACGATCAGAGCTCGACATGCTCTCTGCAAAAAGGTTTCTCTGAACTCTTATCGTGCATTGCCTGTCAATCGCTGTCTGATCCCGTGCGCGTCAGAGCCGGAGACATCGTCGGTGTCATGACGGCGACGTCGGCGTCGCAACGGCGGCCTCAACGGCGGCGGCGACATCTTCAATACCCTGGGCCAAGGGTCGAAGTTGCCTGGTTGAGACCGTTTCCAATACGTTTCCAATATGTCTTCAACGTGTTTCCCACCCCCCATTCTGGTGGGTCTGACAGCGACTGACAGGTAACACGCGATAAGAGCTCGACACTCTCCAAACAACTTCTCTGTTGCAACTCCTGCCCGCTGCAGCCGCCACCTTCCTTCTATGCTGTCTGGTGCTGCTACTGCCTGTTGCTACTGCCTGCTGCTACTGCTCGCTGCTGTTGATGCCCGCTGCGCCGCCCGCCCCGTATTCAATATCATCGGCACTCTCGTGTTGTGTCGCTTGTTCACCAACCCCTTTTTGTAGTTTTCAGGGGGCCGTTTCCTTACCGTTTCCAGCTTGCGCCGACTCGTTTGAAAACATTTTTCAACTGATCGCGCGGACAAGTTTTTCGATAGTTTCCAGGGTTCGTTTGTAATCGTTTCCAGGTGCCCGCTGTTGGCTTACACGACACAAGAGCTGGAAACTATAAAGAGACGCCCAGGGAGATTCCAAGACACACTAAGCCTATTGTAGTACTACGTACCTCTGTTGGAGGTGCGCGTCCGAGCTGAACATGTAGTACAATCATCTTGCAATATATTGCTTACCGAACGGGATAGCCAGAAAGCGCCCGCTGGGGAGCGTATACTATCAAATTTCTCAGCGCGTGCGTCGCCCCTGGGGTGCAGACGCACACATCATAATATCGGTATACTCTGGGTGATGCCGAAATCGCATCGCCGCGCCCAGCACCGGCTGGCCCCAGCCGATGCTGGCGAATAGAGCCGAGCTGAATCAAATGGGAACCGCAGCTCCGGCCAGCGAAGCGAATCGCATCGACTCGACTCGTGCCGGGCCCCCGTCTCGCCGGCCGCCCAAGCCTCCCAACTTGTGGGACGCTGGAGCGCCTACACACCGAGCCCCTTCGCCGAACGACGTGGCGCAGGTACCCAGATATCCGATGTCGCGGGGTCTCCGAAAGTCCCGGCCATTTCCAAAAGGCTGGTTTTTCATCCCGACTGGTTCTTGGCGGCGCGCACAGGGGGGAGGATGAGGAGGGAAGGCTTCTTAGAGGGAAGCTGCTTTCTAGAGGGTGCTGGCCTCACATCTACAGACAAGGCCCGCGTCTTTTAAGAAGCAGGGGTGCTTCTGAGAAGGCTTCCTCCCTCCCCCTACCCCCCTTTCGGCGACTCCGAAGGGTGTGGTTTGCAACTGGCACTCTGGGGGGGACCCTGGGGGGCGGGCGGGGACCTCTACAGAGCTCTCCGCCGTGCCCCGAGGAGGCCCGACGAGGACAGTGTCGTGCTTCCCGTGGCCCAATGGTGCCGATCGCAAACCACGCCCCGGCGTAAGCATACCCTTTGCAGTCGCAGACCCTTCTGCGCGTGGCTGGCTTTCCCCGGGGCTGTTTTTTCAATCCCGAGCAGTTCTTTGACAGCCTCGGGGCCCGGCGAGGGCCCCGGCAGGACGACAGCGGCCCAAGAAACCCCTGGCGTGCTTCCTTCACGACGCGCGCGCACGTCTGGGCACCGAGGCCCTTCGAGCATGAGGGGCAACGATAGGGGGGGACTGGCCTAAGGGGGGGATGCATCGACCTGGAATCGGCGAAACATCGCCGATAGATCGGCGATATGCCCACGATCGTGAATCCGAACCTTCCTGTGCAGGTTGGGGCTTTCGGGCCCCTATCGGCGATCAGTGGGCGATTGGGGGTAGATGCATCCCCCTCTATGCCTATCTCCCCCTATCGTTGCCCCCGAGAGCACCTCGTCGGCGATAAGCAGGATGTCGTGCTCTGTGCACCATGCCCGAAGCCTCTGGAGGTAGCCCGCCGGGGGCACCACGTAGCCACCCTCCCCGAGCACGGGCTCGATGATAAGCGCCGCAATCTCGGAGGCGCTCGCCTGCTGCAGCAGCAGCAGGTCCAGCGACTGGAGCGACTGTTCGGCCGAGACGCCCGCGTGCTCGTATGGGGCTGGTAAAGCTTCGGGCTGGGCCCAGACTGGACATACTAGTGCTATGCGGAAAGAAGCGGAGTGGTGGAGCGCGCACCGTCGGTCCGATGGACCGGCCCTACGAGGGCAGCGCGGGTGGGCTGGGGGCGGGGAAGAAGATTACCCTGCGGCATTACCGAGCTTCACCTAGAATTGAGACTGCTGCGAGCCAGAGTCGGAGATATAGGTTAGAGACGAGGCACTTCGTCTGGGGTCGGAGACTAGTGCTATGCGCTCCCCCTGGAGGCGCGCGTCCGAACACAACATCTAGCACGAGCAACTGGTCGTGTACTTCGCGGTTCAGGCGGTATAGCCAGAAGGCGCCCGCCACCGAGCATGCACCACGAGAGTTCTGAGCCCACTCGCGTCGCCCGTGGCGGAGCGACGCAGACATAGCACACGCATGCTCGGGTGATGCCGATGCCTTGCCGTCTCGCTTGCGCGCAAGAGATGCGCCCGTTGGCAAGGAATGATCGCAGACGTGCTCGCGCCGTGGAAAAATCATAGCGGGAGCCCTTGCGCCGTTCTCGGCCTCGGGGCCGCCCTCGCCTGGCCCCGGGTCGTCGGGAATTCCAGAGGCCCCCGTATAGTGGAGGCCAATCCACATGACACCTTCCACAAGAAGAAGCCCAACCCCGTTTTGGAGTGGGCACGTCACGCCTTCCACAGCAAAACCATCGAAACCCAAGGCACCCTGGAGGCGAGCAGGGTGTTTCTTGGCATGGGCCTCCAGTGCATGACTTGTTCAATCCGCGGCCCCAGGGGTCCCGACCCCGTCCCCGAGGGTCACTCTGCGTGCGGGGTTCGCTTTCGAGTGCCCCAGGGAAGACGCGGGGCCCCGGATGCCGAAGTCGAGGAACAATCCCAGGTGTTTCTCGGCACGGGCCTCCGCTGCTCTGACAAAACGTCAAGACATCGGACTTCTGGGGCCTGCGTCGGAGGAGGGCTACCGTCGAGACAGCGGCGGCCCTCGCCGGCGTGTGCTCGTTCTCTTCGGGGCCCCCTGGAGGCTCGACAAATGGAGCTGGATGTTATAATTCTTCTTCTTCGTCCTTTCTTCTTCTTCTTATGATGATGATGATGATGATGATGATGATGATGATGATGATGATGATGATGATGATGATGATGATTATGGTTGTGGTTATGATTGTTGTTATTTGCATCGCTATTCTTACTTGTATTCGTCTCCGTATTCGCATTCATGTTCTTAGTCTTCTTCTTCTGCATATTCTTCGGGTTCGTCTTCTTCTTCCTTTTTTTTCGTCTGGGAGGGGTCTGGGGAATTGATGCTGAGCGGACCCCACGGGAAAGCCGCCGTCGTCTCCGGCCCTCCTCCGACTGTGGAGCGGCTCGTCGACCGCTGCGTGCGGCGCGACGACTGCGGGCCGCGTGCTCGGGCTGGGCCTCTGCCCCCCGCACACGCCCGTCTGAGGGACAGTTTTAAGGGGGGAGTGGCTCAGGGAGGGGAACATCGAGTGCCCCAGGGCAAAACGCTGGGCCCCAGATCCCGAAGTCGAGGGACGAACCCAGGATTCGGAAAATCGGATCGGTGGAGATCGCTTTTCTTTTCCATGTTGCGGTGCCAGCCATCCTGAAAGTTCAGCTTAAATGCGCAGCTTGCAAAAGTTACCAAGGCTGCTTCGTAAAGAGAAATAAAGAGAAAGGGGTACGCAGTACAGCAGCCCTCCTTGCAGCTTGCCTGCCAACAACGCGGTCCAACAACAATGTCTAAATGTTTTGATACTGCCTGAATAATGTTTGCAAACAATCTTTATCATGTCTTGGTAATGTCCTGCCAATACAGCAGCCCTCGTGGGAGCTGGAGAAGAGCGCCGTCCCACAACGAACCTGATCGTCGGACGTCTTTGTCCGTAGTGGTCTTGGGGCCACGCAGTCGGGCCTCCCGCGGCTGGGAGAGACGATCCGAGCACCCCTGGAACGCCCTCGACGAGGTGCGGCCGCCGAAAAGCATCTCGATGCCAGACGACCTGCCAGGAAGACAGCCGACATTTTCCGTTCGGCTGTATTCGGTGTAGTGCCAGGGGCACTACAACGAATACAGCCGAACATGCGATCAAGATATCTATACGTTATTTAAGATGAAGGGCCAGCCTGCCTGCAATCTTTTTGAAACAAGCCTGGGCCAACTTCTGCTTTTCACGGCCGAGGGGCGGACGTGCTTAATAAACTCTGGACCAGCATTCTGGCAAGTTGGCTGAGAAAGGATGGCCCACCTTTCGGGAGGAGGTTTCTTGATCAGATGCGCGACCGTGCACGAGATTGGCCGAGAACGGCCAAAACCGAGGACCGGCCGAACTCGAGGACTGGGCGCAACCCGAAGGCTTACCAGTAGGGGTATTGGGCCCAGGCGGTGCCTCCAGGAAGGACGCCCGCGCGCGCCCCGCGGTACGCCGTCGAGGAGGGTCAGGGCCCCGTAAGCGGGGACATTCCAAACCAGGACATTTCGAAACTCCCACGTGGGCGACGAAAAGAGCTGGGTCTTACGCACGATCGCCTAGCGACCTCACGCAGGCCTGCGCGGGCCGACAGCGCGGCACGCTGCATTGGAAAGAAGGGCGCCTCCGCGCCACCTGACGCGGGCAGCGTGCGCGTGAACGTCGGTGAAGACGATCCCGTTTCTCCTGCGTCGCTCACGTGGCGAGAACGAGGAATGACGAATGCTTAGGCCCACGGCTGCCGGGCGGAGGAGGATGAGGAGGAGGAGGAGGAGGAGGAGGAGGAGGAGGAGGGGGAGGGGGAGGAGGAGGAGGAGGAGGAGGAGGGCGTTAGGGCGCTCGGGCCTTAGAAAAGTGACTCTCGCGTCCAGCGACCCGATTACTCAGTAATCCGGATCTTCAGGCTCATCACTCCTGCTAGCTAGGAGCCGAGCCTCTTCTTCGAGGCGCCTCTCTGCTCGACACAATGTGACCGCCTCACGCGGGTCACTGAAGCCGTGTAACTGCGCTACTCGATCTCTGTCGAGCGCCTCGGGGGAATCTAACCCGTACTCTGGGGGCAGGGTCAGCACACCGCTCCGAAGCCTCCGAGGTAACCAGCCTCCCTTCCCACGACTCTCGGACCTCCTCAGACGGCTCAACACAGTCGCCGAGCATCGGGGGAGGGGACACTGCCGAATTTGGATGCAGGCCTCTCCGAAGCCTGGACCGTTGGGTCGCCAATCCAGCGTGCTTAGGCCCCAAGCAAGGCCCCGCTAGGCCCTTCCCATGCCTATGACTGTGCTGCACACTCGCACCGCACGAGGTACACAACAAAACTGGGATCTCCGATTCGTTTCCAACGACGGGGGCCTGAACGATATTGTGCCTGGAGAACTTCCAAGTCTGACAGCTCATCCGCTGAAGCCCCGAGAAGTGGGGCACAAGGTCCGGAGGAGCAGCCAAGGAGCCAAAGGAGGAGCCAAGAGCAGCAGAACCAGAGCTAGCCGAGCCCTGACCTCCCAAGGTGTAGAGTCGCGCGGGCACGGCCTCGAGGAGGCGTTTCCTCTCGCGCAGCTCCAGTTGCTCACGAGGTCAGGAGGGACCTGCACTGGCAGGTCAAGCGCCACCTCCGCGGTCCCACCCTCCCCCACCGAGTCCGAGAACCCTTTCTCATGCCCCAAGCTGTGGAGGCGACCAAGCCACTCCACGGCCTGGGTCACTCTCCTCTCGCAGCCTTCAACAAAGAGCTCCTGCTCCTCATCCATTCGCCAGACCTGGGCCCCCGCGCGGGCCCATTTATCTGCTAACGTACTGCCTTTGAGCATCCACAGGTCCTCCAAGGAAGTGGCTTCCTGCAGAGCGCGCTGGGCCTTCACTTTCACAACCTTAGCTGTGCCGCTACTTTGGACCACCACAGCTTCCACATGTGACGGCGACTGTTATCGGGACTCAGGCCCGTGAACGAGGAGGTGGCACACGCCACAGATCCAGCACAATCACTGGAAACTTCAAGCGGCACGCCAGCGCCTTCGTCACACGGGGTTCGCTAAACCTAGCCATCATATGAAACGCGTAGTCTTCCCCGTCCCGCGCCCACTGGTCAGGGCCCACCCCCTGAGGAAACACCCCACGCACAGGCAGCGAAATGCCTCCATTGTCCACTTGGACCGCCGACCAGCCTGCTCTCCGACAAGTTCCAAACTTGGTGTGGAACACTGAGCCATCCAAGAGGAGGAAGAGGAGGAGGAGGAGGAGGAGGAGGAGGAGGAGGAGGAGGAGGAGGAGGAGGAGGAGGAGGAGGAGGAGGAGGAGGAGGAGGAGTGAACGTACCATGAAGAGAAGAGACGAGGGCAAGCGGACAAGACGCAAGAAGAGGGCAAGTGATCCCACGCCTGTCTCTCGCCGCTACGTCTATCTCAGGATGCGATCTGTACGCTCGACGCTCTGGCCGCCAGCATGGGGCCATACACGGGGAGCGGAATGTAAATCGTGCGACACAGTATGAGAAGCATTCAGGAAAGCGGGGGAGGAGGAGGAGGAGGAGGAGGAGGAGGAGGAGGAGGAGGAGGGAGGAAGAGGAGGAGGAGGAGGAGGAGGAGAAGGAGGAGGAGGAGGAGGAGGAGGAGGAGGAGGAGGAGGAGGAGGAGGAGGAGGAGGAGGAGTAGAAGAGGAGAAGAGGACGAGGAGGAGGAGGAGGACGATGAGGACGAGGTGGCGCGCCGACGTCCTGGCTCCTCGGACGGTCCCCGCCTACCGACGGGGGGGGCCCCGAGAGGAGGTGACCGCCAGGGTGCCGGACGTCCGGCCGTGGTAGCCGCCCAAGAACGCGATCACCGTGTCCCGGCCCGTGGCCTGCCTTGGGGCGCAACAGGATATACGGTAGGTCGGGCGCGTCCTCCTACATGCGGGGGGAAAATAATGCTCAAACAATGCCCCCACATGGTCGAACTATCGTCCCAAGACCAAATTTGACTACTCATGACTAACTATTCCTCCTGTAGAGGGACGCGCCCGACTTAAATGTATAGTGTTTTGGCTT